ATATATCGTGGATCACTGCGACAAAATTCTCATCCCTAATGTCTTACTAATGACCTGCAGTAACATTATCTAATCTCGTGCTGCACTATGCAGATGCTCTGTCTGCGCTGACGACTTGCCTGAGCATGCTGAATGTTTGGAGTGACTGACATGGCAGTGGAGTTGGGAATGTTTTCAGTTTGATTCATCTAAGAACCATTTGACCACATGGAGGCCTGAACAAGCTGCACACTGAGTAGTGAGCATTCAGCCCAACAGGGTGGAGTAACCATTAAGCTTTACGTGTATGATAGAATTTTATATTTTAAAAAATGTACTTTGTTATGAACCTAAAATGCAGTTTTAGTTGGACCAACATACATGCCAAAATATGAAACCATGTGATCATAGGTTGAAACTGGTTCTTGTTGTATTTTTATTGTTTTTTTTTTTTTCATATAGTGCTGTGTTTAATTACGTTCTCTTTTAATCTAAAAACATTTTGTGGCTTCCTTTGCAGCTGTTTGTCGTCATAATGTTGGATTTCTAAACATTTCATCAAGAATGATTTAAGAAGCTGCCTTAAAGCTTAGAACATTATAATTCATTGCATCTGAATTATAAATCTGAATCCATTAGCCACTTCAAATCTAAAAAAAAAATCTCTTGTGCTTTGAAGAACCCCACTTTGTTGTATCACTTTATTCCTTTCCCGGTAATAAAATGTGTGACGTCTTTCTCTTCTCACCATCAATGCCAATTTTTCCATCTCCATCTTTGTCTGCGGCTGTGATGAACGCTTTCGTCTCAGCATCCGTCAGGTCCCTGCCGTCCTTGGAAAATCCCTTCAGCACGAACCTGAGGCAAACAGACGTTATTCCAAATAACAATCACACACAAAGTGCACAACACATGTTAATATTTCGTGTGCGACTCATTTCAAAACAGCCTTATTTTCATGTTTGGATCTCACTTGAGCTCCTCTTCCTCTATGAATCCGCTACCGTCCACATCCAGAACCTGGAAAACCTTCTTGACGTTTTCAGCTGACATGGCCTTCATTCCCACCATCTCAAAGAACTTCTTTGGGTCAAAGGTTTCCGCTAGGAAAGTTGAAGGAAAAGACACATTGAGTTTTTTTTTAAGAGTTCCTGGATTGGCTGCATCTTTTGGAAGAGGCCTTTTAACCCTCTCACGATCTTAGAGCGACGCTCAGGAAAAGCGCGGCAGATGTCACTGCTGGACAGCAGGAAAGCGGGGTTGACTGTCAGACCATAAATTCCCAAAACCACACACAAAAAAACTTGTAAAAGCGCCCGTGGGCTCAGTGCGACCCCCGCCAGACTGCGCCACAGAATGAAAAGCTTGTGGAGTCCAAACGACCCCATTTCTTAAGATTATGGGAGGGTTAAAACAGTATTCTGATCAACGCTTTTATCTGGAGAGAAAAAAACGGTAACAAACCTGAAAAGGCATCAAGAGCTTTCTTGATCTCCTCAGGTTTTAAAAGATCTGTCATTACCATTCTGCCGGCTGGAGAGAGGAGAGGAGAAGACGTTTACGGTGCAATTCAGGCTGAATTTTTGAAAACTTTCCTAAATTCTGCATGTTTTTAGTATAAGTGACACAGAAAGAAAGGAACACTCCTGCTCTTCACAACAAAAATGAGACATGTTGGTTAGAACGCTGTCCTTTCCACATCTTTTGAAAATAAAAATAAAAAGAGAAGTTTTTCCATTCCGCTGCAGTAACCTTCAGCTCTCAATAGGTATCACAAGCCATTAGAGGGAGTTCTTGCTTGTTGATCAGGGTAATGTTGATGAATTTATCTGGTCTGTCTCAAACAACTGAGTCTTTATGTCCTCAGAGACCAGAAACATGCGTCTCTGTGCTTTCTCACTCACTATGGAGTCTTGGGAAACATATTTAGGCCTGACACACATAAGTGTCTCTGTTGGGGACATGTCAACAGTCCCTCTGCAAGTTGGACTGTCTGGAGTCCAACAAACTGTCTCCCCTTCCTGACCAAATGACAGAGTGACAGAATAAGCACAGGAATGTACAGCCTTCCTCTTTCTCTCCCTCCTGTTTACTTGTTCTCAACTTTCTTGACACCTATCATGTTTCTGACTTTTGGCACCAAAAGCCAATTAGTGGGGATCCATTTGTGCATTTGGACACGTCTAGAAATCTAATGCTTTTTAAAAAGAAAATTGTAATAATTATTATTTGCTAATGTCTTGTAAACAGAACGTCATTGCAGGCCAGACAGTTCAGACCGAAAGCTTCAGCTAATTTCACCTGGAGGGAACTTTTACCGAAACAGTGTCAGGTTGCGCTGGATCTTCATGTGCTGTCAGGGTGTGTGAAGGTAAACACACTAGAAATAATACCAAGACGACTGGACATGTTCTGTGGTCAGCAACTCAAAAAAGTTAGAAAACTGTAGAAAAAATGATTAAAAACAACACCTTTAATTCTTATGTTTGAAATTGTCCGCAGGGAAAATGGCTGAAATAAAAACATATTCATGTTTCTTAGGATTTTTGTTGATTTTTACATTCTGGAGCGTTAACATGTAATGTTTATGTTGAGTCAATGGAGGAAATCTAACAGATCAAAACTTCAGGTTTACAAGCTAAACTGGTTGTATTAAACGTCTGAAACTCAAAACAGAAAATGGGAAACATTGATCACCTTTACATTTCTTTTTCACTTATCGGTCAATTTACATCTATAAACTGATCTTTAAAGATGTAAATTTGTTCAAGTGTTCATGCAACATGAACAAACTTTTGAAATTAAACATTAAGATCAAAATATACACTTGATCATTGCATTGCTAAAGCCATTTGTGTTCCACATTTTTCTTCACAAAGAAAAATTTAAAATTAACCCTGGAAAATACACAAAACCACAAAAAAGAGAAGAAAAATAATCTTAAAGTTTCAGAGTTCTTATTTTCAGAAATGTACTTTTTCTATCTACAATGGATAAAACAACAACAACAAAACTACACGACAGTGTATTAGAATAAACAAAACAGACCTGAATAAGATACAGAATTTCTGCTGATTACTCTTAGAAAAAAAAAAAAAAGATTTTTTTCTCTCTGGCCTAAAGAGGAAAACACCAGCTGACGTCAAGCATTTAAAGGAATTCCAGCCCACATTATACTTGCATAGCAAAATCATTACTTCATAGTTAAATGGTTCAATTGGCCTGCCTGGTGTTCGGTCCTGCCAGTCATCTAAAGCATTTAGCAGTCAAGACCCTGAACCTTCAAGCAGCTGAAATCCAATATTAGGCAAGAAATAGAAAGCAGCTCACTGCTAACCTACAGCCTTTGTCTTAAAGAGGATATATGTCAGCAAAGCATATTTATTAGGATGTATTTAAAATTACTTTCAACAGAAATTACAGTTTATCAAAAGAAGAGAGTGTCCATGTCTGGGGACCACTAAAGAAATTGTTCTTTCTCCTTTTGTTTTCGGCTTTCAGGTTGTTTTTAACTTTAATGAAGTGAGATAATTGCTGTGATAAAATATCCCAGTCATTCTTCATCCTTTCTCCTCACTGGAGCTAAAAGAATTTCGCCAACATAGATGAGTCTGCAACTTTTCCTGCAATGAACAATACAAATAATGCCTGTTCAGATTTTTACCATGAGGAAGCCTATTTAAATAACTTTCATTACACTTCTACAACACCTCATCTGGAGCGAAGGTTGCAGATAAATCAGCTCGGACCAACTTTTGCAACTGTAACACTGAGCGAAATGCAAGTTTTCTTAAAAAGGGCGGAGCCTTCATGTTGAAACGCTGTAAAAGAACGGCTGCACCGAAAGCCGAGATCCAAGTGTGATGGCTCTGCAAGGAAACACCTTCCACTGGTGACCTTTGAACCAAAGTAAAACCCGCCAGAGAAATACGTCCACCTGACATCACCATAGCAACAGGTGGTTCTTGTTTTCAGGAAAAGATCAAACCGACACAACAGCGTGTATGAGATGTTGACGAAACAATTTCACAAATTCAGTCTCAGCAAAGATTTTAAAGTAGCTGATTTAAAAAATACTTATTTGTCCTTTTCCACAGAAGAATGGTGTGATGCCGCCATTGTGGATACCTGAGTCCATTTGTGTCTCATTCAAGACTAGTAATCAATGTGTTGCTCCACTTGTATGTCTTACAAGGTTCAATTAAGCTGTGCTGCCTTACAGTTGTTAAATTAGCTGTGCTAATAGACTTTGTAGCACCTGAACCAGCTGCAGTATCCCACATTGCTTTTGTTGATCATTATTGTTTCATGCCTTGTTTACGACGGCCTTCATCCCGACTCGGTACTTTACCGATTTCTGACTTTTTTTTTTCATCTTTTTGCCTTCAAACAGTTGTGTTACTGCATTTAATATTTGACGAGTCTTACCTGAATGAATAGATGGCTAGCTGCAGAGGAAAAGAAAGCAAGAGGACAGGTGATGGATGGATGGAAGGAAGGATGGATGAATGGATAGATGAATGGATGGACAGAGGGAGACGGGAGAAGACAGAAGGCCTGGAGATGGAGGGTAAGATGAACAAGTGGAGGGACGGAGGACACAATAAGACTTTTATAGCTGCCTCTGAACACATACACACTGGTCGTGGGCACCGGGCTCATCCCCACCTCTCTATTTTCAGAAGAGGGGTTTGTCAAGACATGACGCAAACACTGGTGGCCTATTAATAATACCTCTTTATCTTACTTCAGCTGGACCTCTTCTCCACCAAGGAGACAGACGTTTTTGCTCTTTGTCTGCTGGGATTTATTCAGATTGAGTCATTTTGAGGCTGCCTTGAACAGCCTAAGCGTTCCTCATAAATGAGATGTTACCTAGGTTACAGCGATTTTGATAGCGTTGGTAGTAATAACAACAACAAAAAAACATATATGTTTTATGCCGTGATTTAAGATCATGATCAAGTGCAAACGTTACCTTGAATTCATCCTGACAATCTGATAGCAACTGTAAAAAGAAAGCTCAGCCTGTGTGGCTCTGATGTACCGGGCTGTGAATAAGTAGCTTCTGTTTTTCTCTTTGTTTGTCGTTTAAAGGGGCAGTATTAAGTAAAATCAACTTTTTGAGCTTTACGTCATGTTACGTTATTCCATTATCAAAAACATATCTTCAGTGTTTCCTTGATTCTATCACGCATGTTTGAGAAATAATTTAATCTCCATGGCAACCATTCAGCTGTGCAAAACGCCTGGGTGGGCCTAGCCCCGCCTTCGAGGCCAAAGCTCCTCCTCGGAGCTGCAGTTTCCAAGCTTCAGAGGTTCCACCTCACATGATGCATCCCCCACTCAGCTCCTTCAGACTAGCCAGCAGCAATTAGCAAACACCTGGTGGAACTGAGCATCTAATGAACTCATTATACAAGATACTTCTCAGTGCAACGCTGCTAAAAACGTTGTCAAAGGGTTAGTAAAGGAGCCATGTTGTGACA